CTCTTCCGAGCGGCGAAAGCTTGGCTAATATGCTTGACAGTAGACGGAATATTTATAACGGATGAGTTGATTTCAATATCGGTGGGACAAGAAACTGGTAAACAGGAACTATGGTATAAATATTAACAAGCCGGTAAATCGCATTAAGCGGTGAAACGTGACTCGGTAGAAAAGTCACGTTTGTTTATTCTCTAACGGTGGATTATCTTCTATTTGTGTTATGACTCAAGAAATGTAAACGTTTACATTAAATTTACACATTAACAAATCTTGACCATTTTTTTTAAAAACGTACAAAGTTGTCGTAGATCAAAGCCGTCTAATCTGTGGATACTCGAATATTCTAGGGATTAGATACATGAAAGATCATTTGTATAATTTTTTTTTTTCATATTTATTTTATCCAAATCCTCTTTGATGGCACATTTTTGTGTCATGCTTTGTTTTTAAAAATAACTTCCTGTAATAATCTTGTATACCGATATATTCTGTGATTGTTTAAAAAACGATCATAAGTAACATAGTCATTAAAACACGTGATGTTCTAGTGTAACGTGTCTACTGCGCGAACAATGATTTATGCCGATATATCTATTTTAGCTGCTCTTATCTCTCGCGACGTACGCACAAAGACATGAGGTTACATTAATCAGTAGTAGTCAAAACGAACTGTCGAATGATGCAACGCAAACACCTGATTGCGTGGATCGCTTTCGGATGACCCGGATATTCCACTCCTTCATATTTGAGCACGTGTCATAAACGCGATTATGTAATTGATATCGCGATCAACGCGATATCAATATGCCCTCTCCTCCTCCAGCCGCATCTCGCTCTTTTTACGACGATACATGCTATGAAATGAAGTGCGATAAGGTAGTAAAATTGATTAGCATTGTGTATGAGACGCGTAGATGAAAACACTGACTTTCCAATGCTCAAAATTTATCGCGGGACGCCGGGCAAGGTACGACTAACGGGTTTTAAGCACAACCGAAAATAACGTGACCGGTTGACCAATTACCGGATAGATTCTAATGCGGGGATAAATCTTCCTGCTCGAAAAAAACAAGCAAAACTCGAATACATTTCTAACATTTCGAGGCGAAGTATATATATATATACATATATATGTTTAATTATATATGTGCACTGTCGTGGCTACTTCGATCTTTATCATTTTTACCATTTTTACCTTAAAAAGAAGAGTCAAAAGTTGCACGGTGCCAAATCTGACGAGTACGAATTTGGGCATAATAATTTCTTCAACGCGTTGNTATATACATATATATGTTTAATTATATATGTGCACTGTCGTGGCTACTTCGATCTTTCATTTCCTTATCATTTTTACCTTAAAAAGAAGAGTCAAAAGTTGCACGGTGCCAAATCTGACGAGTACGAATTTGGGCATAGTAATTTCTTTACCCATGTCAACGCGTTGTTCGTGGTCCATATTTACAACAAACGTAAAAAAAACCGGTCTTCACACAACCGTAACTCGATACTGACTAACCGAACCGAACAAATCGAAACTTGTTATATATTATAAGGGGAGAGTTCTACAATTAGATTTCACTACTAGAAGTTCCCCCTCCTCCCGTTATATAGCACGCTGTGACGGCCTTCACCGTATTTTTTTATCACACTTTGTACTTGAAATAAGAATCATTTTCACAATCACACAAGAAAATTAGACTTTTTAGTTTCATAAAAAGATAAACAATAATATATTTATATGTTTTATTATATTTTATTATTTCTTGTAAAATTTGCTATGACAGATATTAAAAATAATGTAATAGTTTAATTTAATAATTATTCAACTAAAAGTAAATCAAATTTTTTATTTACTTATAAACTTATATATTAGAATAATTATGTATATATTATAAAGAAGTGTCTCTCTCTTTTTCTTCTTTTTCTCTCTTTTTTACTCTTTGCGGAAGAAAAACTGTTTGCGATCAAGGTGAAGATAGAATGAATTTCTGTTATTGGTTTAATAAAATATTCACATTAAATTAGAGCTCTAATTGCATTTATAAATTAGTTATTTATTCTATTTGTTCTAATTGTTAACAAAGAAAAATTTTATCAAGAATGCATAGCAAATCTCTTGTGATTTTCTGTGATGTAATCTATATTGATTTTACTAAGATCGGCACGTGTTTATCAAAGAATAAAAACAGTATCTTCTCGATAATGGCAGTTTTTCTTCCGTCGTCTTCTTTAAGGCTGACCAATGCTACCGTCAGAATAATTGACCCAAATGTACCACAAAAATAGTGGATCATAAATTACACGGTCTTGACGAGAGTGCACTTGACACAGCACTGTCGCTACATGACTATTATACAGAGAAAGAGACAGAAAGACACGGAGAGGGGAGAAACAGTGACAAAGAGGAACGGTTGGCAAAAGGTGGGGAAAAAAGAGGACATTCCATTGAAGATTACCAGCTCTCTTCCGACGTGTCCTCATTTTGAATACAAACGAATGGAAAACTGCCGTACCAGCTGATATGCGAATCTCGAAGAAATTGCGACAATCAAAGTTGTTATATGCCAAAGGATTATTTAATTATATAAATTTGTTTGTTGCCAACCATCTAAATTCATTTATGAGTTATGCGATGTCAAGAATTTATATTACAATTATAAAAATAAAAAATATCATTTAAAGAAAAAAAATTATAGCAATAAAAAGATTTTATCAAATTTTTGTTTTAAGTTTTAACAAATTTTAACAAATTTATATATATAAATTTTTAATAATAAAGTTTTAATAATTTTAATAATAACAAATAATATTAATTAATACTT